CCAGTGTCCTTCTGACACTCTATGTCCTAGAGGTGTTTACAGGGGTTTACAGAGCTACAGCTGTTCACTGTTGTGAAGTGCTCATGTATTATACAGACCCTTCTATAAACCAGACCCAAGTTTTCTCTTAGTTAATTGATCACAGGGAACTTTCTACAAGGCCACAGATGCTGGCTAGGAGAGAGAAGGTGATGTGGCAGGAGGAGGGGCCCCGGACATGTGGCTTGGGTCTTCAGGGCCTGCTTGAACTGATCTCACATATGCCATTTCATTTGCACACCCATCTTTATGGTCTGGTGGGTCAGACAACATTCAGTTCACAATGGGCAGCTCAAGTTTCAGGGGGCCTGTGGTTAAGGGTTCAACCTTGCTAAAGCACAGTAGTAACCCAAAAACTTTCTCAAAGAAGAGTCTCTGTATGTAGGAGAGGGCAAGGCTTTGCTTTGAAATCCTAAAACTCACCATCATACCAATCCTTAATGTAATAGAAACATTCAGAAAATGAACAAAAAATTTATTTATAAATAAATATATATATATATTTTTTGGTAGAGATAGAATCTCACTTTATCATCCACAATAGAGTGCTATGGCGTCACAGCTCACAGCAACCTCCAACTCCTGGGCTTAGGCGATTCTCTTGCCTCAGCCTCCTGAGTAGCTGGGACTACAGGTGCCCTCCACAACGCCTGCCTATTTTTTGGTTGTAGTTTGGCTGGGGCCGAGTTTGAACCCGCCACCGTCAGTATATGGGGCTGTGCCCTACTCACTGAGCCACAGGCACTGCCCTAGATATATTTTTTAAGATGCAATGATAAATCCTTATGTAGAAATTCATTACTTTAAAAAAAAAAGAAATTCATTACTTTTTTCAACTTTTCTTTGAAAATGATGTTAAACTAATCAAGGCTATTTTATTTATCAGAAAAATTCCATTTTGGAGTTATACTTGGAATATTCAAACTTAAATACAAGCCGCGTAATTTATGGCTAAATTGTACAACAAGTAGCCAGTGCACAAGTGTCTCTTGAACAAAGTTTAGCCTTAATAGACAAAAGCAAGTAACGTAAAGACCAAGTGAGCTGAAGTACTATGCCATAAAGATGAGAAAAATCTGTTAAGAACCAAATATTCTCAAGACACACACCCAATGCCACCACTATTCTTAAAATAGAATTCAAATATTTAGGTAGCTAAAAAGTATGTGTTTTTCATTTCTCATAGGCCTCATTTGAGGTTGGCTTTGTTATTTCTGGATCTCTTACTCAGTATAAAGAGAGTATCTTTTTCTAATTTTGGTAGGATGGCACTTTTTGAAACAACAAAATCATCATCATGGTTCACTTCTCAGTGTCTTTTCAAATTACATCTAAATTCCAAAATCAAACTCATTTCTAAGACCCTTAAGTAAGTTTCTATATTTATGATTTTACAAAGAACTATCTCTGGGAGCCCAAAGGGTCTGAAGTGACCTAAC